TTTTTTTCAAAAATCGTTGCTATTTTCTATTCATTTCATTTTTAATGTAGCAAGTAAATTGTCAATAATATATATTTATAACTTTTTAAAAAATGCATTTAAATTTAATTGGACAGAAAGCAATAGGTAGAGGGTCCCTAGGGACTAGTAGCCCTAGAAACCTTCCTCAAAAAATTATAAACAATTATTAACATTAATAATAATTAACATGGAAGGGTTTGGCCAGGGAATAAAATGGTTAAACCAGGAACCCCGCACGAATATTCTTAATAATAATTGTTAACATTAACAATTATTATTAACATGAAAGGGTTAAGCCAGGGGGGGCCAAAGGGTTACGGACCCCCCCGCAGGTGTGCTGGAACATACATTGCTATACTACTACTATCTTCTTCTTTCGCGAGATAGCGTAACTTTTTGTATCCGAGCAATATGTACTTGTGTCGCTGAAACTTGGACACACTCGATTTTCGGTTCGTTTAGACTGCCCTACGCGATTTCTAACAGTCTTACCTTCGTATTTCGTTTTCTTCAGGCGAAACTGCTAAGCGCGCATTACTTACAGATGACGCCCGTACTTCGCGCTCCCAATCTTCAGCTCACGAGTTAACTTCGGGAATTCGATAGGTTGTGCCCCTCGATTTACTGAATTCCATTCAGAGAAACGCACAGCTATCTTGGTTCGCTTGCGTCGATTCTTCAAGTACAATCGTTGAAGCATTTCAGGTCGCGCGGTCAGCTGGCAGCTCAGCCTGAGACGGCAATGAAGCCTGCTGCTCGGTTTGAGCGATCTTGCTGTGCATCGCCTTTCTTTCTACTCTAAACACCGTGTTTTCGCAATCTGTAATTCCTACCCGTGCTTGCTAATAGTAATCGCTCAGTTGGAAAGAAATTCTTTCTTCTATCTGCTTGCTCAATCGCATTCTCCGTCGGCCTGCTTACCGCCGATAGAGATACGTTTGCTCTACCGGACTTGTCTATCTGGTCACCCGGGGGCTGCCCTTGCATACGAGAAGCGGCAACATCGGCTCTCGCCTATGTCGCCTACTCTGTCTTGTGCAGCGTTTGAGCCGCCAAGGGTGTGTCAGTCATTGTAGACTCGCTACCGATAATCGGCCTTTGTACGCCGCTCTCCGCTGCAACTCATTGCTCTCATTGTCCTATTACTGGACTTGGTTCTGCCGCAAAATCTTCCGCGTGCAGTGTCGGACTTAATTCTGGCAGCTCCATAATACCACAAATATATGTTTCACAACTCTTCTAAGTTACTTCGAAGATTTAATCCGCGATACCGCTTGAGTTCAAATAATATGGTTGGTTCTGCCGTGTCTATTTTTTTCTTATAGTGTTTCGCGCGCGATTCATATAAGATCCGACGCATACAAAACTCTGTCCTTGCACGCACAAAAAGTCGTCGCCTGCTCCTGTCACAACAGTGTTTTAGTTTTATGGGGGGGGGGGGGTCAATAAGTCTTTACAAAATGAAGGAAAAAAAGTTTTGCGTATGTAATTTTTTTTTATTTTACAATATAATCTCCTTGAAGGTCGATACATTTTATTAAACGGCATTCTAGTTTTTTTAAGCCATCAGAAAAATATGATTTCTAAAAACCATTAAAATAGGCATTTGTTTAAGCGATGACTTCTTCATTCGACGTGAATCGTTGACGGCGAGCCATTTTTTGAGGTTAGGAAATAAGAAAAAGTCACTGGTAGCCAAATCAGGCAAATATGGTGGATGGTCAATTAATTCGAACCTTAAATCGTTAATTTTTGCCATCGAAACTGCACACTAGTGAACTCGAGCATTGTTTTGAAGAAAAAGGCATTTTTTTTTTATTCAAGTGAGGACGTTTTTCTCTGATTTTTTCTTTCAGCTCACCTAATAATGACGCATGATATTGTCCAGTGATCGTCTGGCCCTTTTCCAAGTATTCGATGTAGATGATTCGATACGCATCCCAGAAAACCGTGGCCTTAATCTTGCCAGCTGACTTTACTGTCTTTGCCTTCTTTGGGGCTGGTTCTCCTGCGGTAATCCATTGTTTGGACTGTTCTTTGGTTTCAGGAGTGTAGTGGTGTACCCATGTTTTATCTAGAGTTACGAGTCGACGCCAAAAGTCTTCCGGATTACGAGGTATGCGTGCCAAAAGAGCCTCAGAGGTGACCACACAGGTTCGTTTGTTTTCAACAGTGAGCAAATGCGGCACCCATCTTGCTGATATTTTTTTCATTCCAAATTTTTCTTGCAAAATTGAAATGATTGTACCTTTTGATACCCCTGTGACCTCAACTAATTCTCGCAGTTTAAATCTTCTATCACTCAACACCATATCGTGGATTTTGTTGACTATTTCGGGTGTACTCACTTCTACGGGGCGTCCTGAACGAGGTTCATCTTTTGTTGTTGTACGGCCGCGTTTAAATTCATTTACTTAGTTATAAACAGTCTTGTTGTGAGGCCTTTCAAATGAAAATATTTTATCACCGTTCGAAACTCTGTTTTTCCATTTTTCAAATAAACCAATAACTTTTTGATCAACTAACGCTCAGAAAAAAATGACTTCATGAATGAAGCTTTGTATGATATTTAGTTAGTAGTATTGCTTGCCAAAAACATAATTTAAGCGTGACGAGCGCCATCTCTTGGATTTTGTAAAGACTTATTGACCCTCCCTCGTATATTCAGAAATAAAGCATAAATGTAATAAAACAATTATTCTTAATTTTTTCCACTCCTGATGTTTGATAATTATATTAATAATCTTGATCTTAGGAATCATCCCTATAAATAAACTACACACTTATTTTATTATAAACGTTTCGCAATTTTATTTATTGCCACCTCAGTACATCTGTTGAATATATATATTATTATAAATAAATGAATTCTTTCAATATTAGTATTGTATTATAATATAAACATACGTTTTGTAATGTAGATAAAATTGAATAAATTAAAAGTTCTTCCGCACATATTCTTAAAATGTATTTAAAAAAATTACACATAATTTCCCAATGGAATCTGATTATTATTAATATAATTGTAATAAAACAAGTTTGATAAAAAGTGTGACAGGTTACGTGACTAACTTACAAAAGCAACAAAAGGAACAAGTAGTTTCCAAGCTTGTTAAGACGCTGGCGCAGGGGGCTGAGGCGGTAATCCCGTCGGGAATGAGATGACGCAGATACAAGACCCTTTCACTTGAACACTTTATTGGCCACCACTTGGGGCGACAGAACAGGCAGAGATTACAAGGCGTCATCCGAGGGGGGGGGGGGGGGGGCTCCAGTCTTGCCCCTACTTCAGGGCCCGCGTCGTTGTCCCCTCGTCGGGGGATAGAGGAAGGGGGAAACCTGGGCTCGAGCCGCGCGAGGCCGGGCAACTCGACTAAACATCCCGCCCGCCTCGTTCCGAGAACGACCCGCTGGTGTTGTAGTCGCCGTGCGCCCTAGGATGGCTGCTCGATGAGACCGAGGGCTGGCAGGGGCGCCAGCTTGACGACTGGCCGGACATACTCCCGGCGGCGGTCCGGATCTTGGCGGAGCGGACGAGGCCATCCGGTCCTGGGTGAGTGGCGACTATACGGCCAAGAGGCCATCACCCATCTGGGCGCAGAAGAGTAGGGTCGGTTATGATCTCAAGGTCGTCGACCTGGAGGTTAGGTCGTATGGTCCTCCACTTGGGGCGCTGGCGCAGGGTATTCAGGTACTCGCGGCTCCAGCGGTCCCAGAACAGCCCGCGCATGGCTCGGACGAGCTCCCAGTGCTGTGTGCTCTACAGGTTGGTGGTTGCGGGGAGCGGCTGCGGAATTGAGGTGGCAGAGGTTCCGAGGAGAAAGTGGCTCGGTGTCAGAGCGTCCAGATCGTCGAGGTCTCCGGTGGGCGGCGCGAGCTGTCGGCTGTTCAGGGTGGCCTCGATGGAGACGAGGAGTGTGGTAAACTCCTCGTAGGTGAGCCTTCTGGGGGCGGCAATGCGGTGAAGGTGGTCGTTCATGCTCTTCACGCCGGCCTTCCAGAGTCGGCCGAAATGAGGGGCAGTAGGGGGGTTGAACCTCCACGAGACGCCGTCCTGTGCTAGCGTCCCTTCGACCAGCCTCCCAGTCGATTTCGGCCTCCTGCAGCAGTCGTCGAAGCTCCAGGCTGGCACCGCGGAAGTTGGTGTCATTGTCGCTCCAGATCTCGTTGGGGCGTCCTCTCCTCCCGATGAATCGGGTGAGGGCTCCGAGGAAGCTGGCCGTCGTCAAGTCGCCGACGAGCTCTAGGTGGATCGCTTTCGTGCTCATGCACACGAAAAGCGCCACGTATCCCTTGATGGTAGGGAGTCCCCGTCCGCGGCTTCGGCAGAGTGGAAGCGGGCCGGCATAGTCCACGCCGCAGTGACTGAAGGGCCGCGAGGGGGTCACCCTGACCACGGGGAGGGGGGCCATCCCTTGGGCGGTGGTCCTTGCAGAGATCCGGGCGCAGATCAGGCACTGGCGAAGGTGGCGCTTGACGCGCGACTTGCCGCCGGTGATCCACGCCTTCTGCAGGACTCTCGCGTAGGTAGAGCGAAAGCCTCCATGCAGGCTGCAAGCGTGGGCCCATCGGAGCTCTGCCAGGTGCGAGCGTGCGTCCAGGAGGACGGGGTGGTGCTCGTCGTAGGGCAGTGGAGATTGGGAGAGGTGTCCGTCCACTCTCAGGAGTCCGTCTTCGTCTAGGAAGGGTTCTAGCGCTCTGATTGAGGCCTGGAGCCGGGGCGCGGGTCCTTGGAGAAGCTGGATCTCATCCGCGAAGGTTTGACGTTGCGAGAGGCGGGCGCAGGTGAGAAAGGCCCAGCGGAGGTCAACGGCTCGGACAGGCCCTAATGGTCTGGGCGAGTTGGGTGTTGACCTGGTCAGCAGCCGGTGGGCCCTCACGGTGCCGCGGAGGAGACTCCCCAGCCTGGAGAAATTCTCGAGGTGGTTCCGGGCTTGGTCCTCTGTGGCGGCAGGGCTTCGGCGACGAGCGAGCGAGACCAGGCAGGCGGTGATGGTGTCGTCCGGGCCTGTAGACGGTGGGTCGTCGGCGAGGGCGGTCTGGGGCCAGGCGGATTCGGGGCTGGACAGCCACTTCGGCCCGGTCCACCAGAGGCGGTGGTCCTTGAGGGCGTCCGAACCGACCCCCCTAGAGGCGATGTCCGCGGGATTGTTGGTGGTGGGCACGTGGAGAAGGGTTGCTCCGTCAACCAATTCCTGGACGTGGGCGATGTAGTTGTCCACGATGTCGTTTCCCACCGGTTCGTCGGACTGCAGCCAATGCAGTGCGACGTGAGAGTCGCTCCAAAGGTGGCAGGCCGAGATCGGGACCTTGAGGGCGGAGGCGGTGGTGGTGAGAAGCTGTGAGGCGATGAGAGCCGCGCGCAGATCCAGTCGCGGGATTGTCATGCGCAGGCGTCCGGTTGATGCTGGCTGGAGGCTCTTGATGGAGGAGAGCTTCGTCCGAGCGTTGAGTAGGGCGGTGGTGACGCTTCCGTCCTTGTCGGTGACCCGCGAGTAGACTGCGGCGGCTAGGGCGCGGCGGCTGGCGTCGGCGAACGCGTGGAGCTGGAGGTTCTTGTCGGGTGCAAGCCCGATCCATCGGGGGATGTCGCTCTCGGTGGCCGCGAGGATCGTGGAGCGGAATGCGGACCACTTGTCCTGCCACGCCTGTGGGAGGATCTCGTCCCAGCTCAGCTTCGCTCTCCACAGATCCTGCACGATCGTCTTAGCCACGAGGGTGATTGGCGCCAGCCATCCCGCCGGGTCGAAGATACTGGAGAGCTCGGCGAGGGCCTTGCGCTTAGTCAGCTAAAACCCGGGATGAGGCGAGGCGGCAGGCTTGAACCAGAATCGGTCGGTGGTCGTGCTCCAGCCTACTCCGAGCTCGGTGAATGGTCCGTCCGCCGAGAGATGGACCCAGCTGGGTCGAAGGCGATCGTCCACGGCGATGTCCTCAAGCAAGGCGGGGTCGCTGGCCACCCACTTCCGCAGGTGGAAGCCGCCCGCCGTGTGGAGCGCGATCAGCTGGTCCCTGAGGCGTCGGGTTGTCTCCAAACTGTGCCCGCCGCTGAGGAAGTTGTCCATGTAGAGGTCGTTCTCAGCGGCCTCTCGGGCGAGTGGGAAGCGGGCGCCCTCGTCGGCGCAGAGCTGTCTGATGGTCTGGAGGGCCAGGTAAGGTGCGCAGGCCTCGCCGTAAGTGACGGTTTGCAGCGCGTAGTGGTGGACGGGAGAGTCTGCGTCCTGGCTCCACAGCACTCTCTGGAGGTGGACGTCCTTTGGCCTCACGCGGATCTGGTGGAACATCATCTGGATGTCCACGCAAAAGGCGTAACGGTGCAGCCGCCACCTAGTGAGCATGGTGGCCACGTGCCCTTGTAGCTTCGGCCCGGCGTGCAGCGCGTCGTTCAGGCTGTATCCCGAGGATGTGGGTCTCGAGGCGTTGAAGACGACGCGCAGTTTCCGTCCTCGATCGTGATGTTGCCAGATTTCGTGATGCGGGATATAGACTGCCGGTCCCTGATGTGCGGCGAGCTCCTCGGCAGTGAGCTGCCGCATGTGCCCGAGGTTTTCATACTCGGCCATGAACTCGTGGTAGCGGCCCGACAGTTCCTGGTCCCGTTGCATCCGGCGGTGCATCGAGGCGAGGGCGGAACGAGCCTGGCTCAGGCTCTCCCCGAGGAGAGCGACGCGTTCCGGTCGTAGCGGGAGGGCCACGGTGTAACGCCCTGTGGGGTCTCGGCTGCATCCTCGAGCGAACGCTGCCTCGCACTCGACGTCGGCGGCCACGGGCCCGGTGAGCGTCCAGCCAAACACAGTGTTCTGGGCCAGAAGCGGGCCGTAGCTCCGGACGCCCGATTGGATGATCCGGCTGTAGGCGTCCGCACCGATGACGATGTCAATTCCGGCCGGCTGTGGTGGGCCCCGGAGCAGCTTCTGCAAGTCCCATTTGACGGGCAGGTCCTGGCCGAGTGCGAGCCACTCAAGCAGTTGAAGCAGAGGCCGCGGTCCGAGGCTCTGGTCGGCCTTGCGGGATGCGTTGGATGCGCTGGCCGATTGAGGGAGGGCGGAGGTCGGGGGGTACAGCGACCGCAACGTCCGGAACCGCCGCTGGAGGAACTCCCCCAGCTGTTCGAAGGTCGGCTCGCTGGTTTTCTCCTCTCTCTCCTCCTCCCAGACTCTTCGGGTGGCAGGGTCCATGGCTCGGCTGCCGAAATGGACTGGTGTTGGAGTGCACGATGTCGACGAAGAGGTCCTTAAATGACTCCCACTCTTCGTCGAGGCTTCCGAACCGAGGTAGGGTGATGCGGGGAAGCCGGGCCAAGGCGACTTTTCATCCGTCGTGAACGTCGAGGCCTCCGGCAGCGCTGGATGAGGAGGTCGAGGCGGGGCCCGATGACCCGATCTTCGATGCGATCAGACGATCCCGGAGGTCGATGAGACGGACGTGATTCTCGCAGAAGTTGGCCCAGTATCCCTCCACGAGCTGGAGCCGCGTCTGGAGTAGCCCTATCGTCCATTGATCGGCCGGGGAGCCGCGGACCCTATCCGCCGTCTGTCGCAGCACTTCCAATAGTGCTTCCTGGATGGCAGTGAGACTTATCTGGAAGATGATGAGGGTTTAGAGACCGCGTGGCGCGGAGGAGGGGGACGAAGTCGCCGTCTGTCGGCCGGGGTCGGGCGCCCGACGCTCCGGCTCAGCGCGCGTTCTCCGGCTCCTCCGCTCAGGGGTGTCGGCCGGACGCGTGTCGTCGCCATCGGCGCGGTGACGGGACGTGCGTACAGAGTACTGCGTAACAGTACAGTGCAGATCAGTGTTATGGTTTCTTTCTTTCTCTCTCTCTCTCTCTCTCTCTCTCTCTCTCTCTCTATCCGAGGTGCCGGGTGAGCGCTGCGTAGCTATGCAGCCTTGCCAGCTACGAGGTCGAACAAATGACTTTGTTTCGGGCGAGAATTGTTTTTCTTGAGTCTTTGTACATTTTATACATTTCTCGCGATTACGGACAAATAAACAAGCAGCTTTGCAGCCGATTCGCTGCGCGTTACGCGGTACGAGTAATTTTGTGTTATAGCGGCGTTATTTTTCTTTATTTAGAATAAGTGGCGATTTTGTATTATTAAAATTATTATTACACCAGAGTTTGTTGTTGTGATATCGTTACCTAAAATCACTCCTGGTCTCACATTAGTTTATTCATGTATGATTAGTGCATTTGCTCGATGCATTATTCAGTCCTGGGAACGTCTTTTGCTTTCCGAATTCCCTCCCTTTTAATAAAATAATTTTGTACGGACAGTCGCGAAATACCTGAACGCGAACGGCTGCATTTCTCCGTTACAACATACTAAAAGTGAATTAAAAATAAGTTGCAATGGGTAAATAAATATAATGTATAATGTCAATATATGTATGGAAGTCTAATATTTGTAGGAAATTCACGCAAAACATTGATAAAAAATGTCGACATTATGGATAGCTTCAAGTGTTTGAAACTTGTTAAGTTTGTTGATTGCTTCAGATAATTGAATAAAGTTATTGACAGTTGTTTTTCAATGAAATTTTATAAAAATCTTGTGAGTTATATTGAAGAATTTAGACAAAGTTATGTGAATTTTGAAATATCTGCTAAGTTTAAAGTTTGCAATAATTTACGATATTAAAGATTTTTTTTAGAAAAAAAACAGCGGAATAGCGTATTACAGTAAATAAGTTAACAACAATAACTTAGAGACCACTTTTCAATTTTTCAAGCAAAATTTTTATTATCGCCTACACATAAAAATAAGTAATTTTTGATTTTATTTAAAAAAAGCGCCAAATCAAATATTTCTTTTAAGCGCATAAAATGCAGTTTAAGTGTTGCAGAAACAAGAAATGTCATTATTTTGGAGTAATTGCTAACTTTCATTTAAACTTACCCACGAGCACTGGTACCGATAAATAGTAAGTAATATTTATTTCCTTATGCAGTGAAAGATAAGTTAAATTATTATCTTGAATAAGGAGATCCAACCCCAATGCGATATATTTGAGAACTTGGGACGATTTTTCCACCTATAATTCAAACAAGAGACGGCGTGATACGTCTGATTTCAGCACTCGACGCGGCGGCTATCGGTAGCGCTGCTTAGACAGAGGCAAACTTATGTAAGCAAACATGGGCAAGAGAGAAACGCGCAACTACATTTACACAGAAAAATAAGTACCCGAAATTAAATAAAAATTTAATTTAATTTATTCCTATTAGGTAAATGTGCATACAACAAGTAAATAATTAATTATTAAAATATTATATTAGTTAACTTAACCTATACGAAGGATTTAACACAAGTGAGAGCACAATATAAATACCAATTAGATTTGGTATATTTTAACTATCCATGCTAGTTTAGTGGTTAGCGCTCTTTTTATACTCTTCCCCATCTTGATGTGTCCCGGTTCAAATCTCGCACGGATAAGTTTTGTTATTGTTAACTTGTATATTTATTTTATTGGAAATAAACTTGCTGCATCAGTCACATCTACTCCACAGCAGCGAGCTTTCGAAAATCAGCAAAAATTTTAGAACGCGATTTAAGGTTCTGTCTTAATTTTACTATGTACTAATTGCTATATTTTATAAACATGAGTAATATTTTGTTACGTTTTAGGCGTCAGCTACATAGGTTTACCCTAACATTAAGAGTCATCCAATAAGAGTCTAGTAGTTTAAGCTTATTTTATGTATATTTTCGTATATATTTATTTGAATTAATATTTTGATATAATTTTTACTTTATCTTGTGATGAATTCTTGTGATGTGAAGGTATTTTAAAACATAGCTGAATACTGATTGGGTTTTATTCACTTTTATTTTTGCTTCTTAGTTTTAAATATTGATTGCAAATACCTTTTGATTTACAAAATTATCGCAACATTTTTATTGCTCAAATAAGATGGTAATGGACGTTCAGTATCCATTGTCGATAATTAGCTCCTGGTTATCACAGTGCATTTAAACGTCAATTTTTAGCGACGTATGCACTCTTTACGAGCTCGAAGTATATGTTAGCAGCTTAAACTCGACAATAAACAAATTTACAAACCAAATAAAGAGGTTGATAGTAAACGACAATTAAAATACGTTCTCTTTGTTGGACTTTAAATTCTCAATTAAATTCAGCAGCTTATCTCGTCATAACGCGCACTCAATACATAAATTCGACTTAAGTTAAATAAATCTCGTTCACGATAAACTTATGAACTAATGAAATCCATGCTATAAATGATCGTAATGTACTAGGATTTAATAATCTGACTTAAAATTCTACTAACAAATGTATGATACATTTAAACATATAATTGTACTAAATCTTAACTTCTAAAATAACAATCTCTATTCGCAGTCCTTTGTACATTGACGTCATTCTTCGAGAGTCATTCTCAAATTTTCGTTTACATTATCACACAAAGATTACAGTATCATGATTGTCAAAAAGGCTGAGGAAAGCTATATGACAAGAGATAAATCATGCATCAGATAAATCTCGCAGCGTTTATTTGTGCGCTCGAGAAATCGGAAACTAATTTTTACTAATTTTAATCATCAGCGCGTTGATACTCAATCGTTTCGCCTTAAATTTGAAACTAGGTTAAATAAAATAAAGGTAGGAAAATACGCCACAACTATATTTTTTAAAACAAGATTTAATTTCTATCTGAAAATTATCGGGCAACGCGTATTCGTGTTTCTATCCGGAACACTAGCTCTGTTCCTATCAATGCAATAAACTGAAAATCTTCAGATAACATTAACGTAATCAAGACATTTTCTTAGCACTTCGTATTATAGAGCTTTTTAGATATTATTTTAAGTCAAAAACTTGAATTTTCATATAAAATGTTTTTACGGCATTGTGTGAATGACCCACCGAATTTTTGTAATGTTTATGGTGATGTGGTCCCAACTAAACAAGTTAATCCATAACAACGTCTATCAAATTATTGTCAAAGAATATTTTAATAATGAATTAACCAATTTAAATAAAACATAAGTTCCTAATATGATTTGTGATACGTACAGAGTAGGTTTAACACACTGGAAAAATGGAAGAAAAAAGTGTATGCAATTTGACACTCCCACAATATAGCGAAAACCAAAAAATCACGTTGATGATTGCTATTTCTGTTTATGCCACGGTTGTAAACAAATCAGTACCTTCAATAACAAAAATAAACATACTATTAAATATGCAAACATATAATTTGTTACAATACCTACTCTTTAAACGCCTAAAAATCCCATTCCTGTTCAAAACTCCTGAAAAAAAATGAAGAAGAAGAAGAAGAAGAAGAAGAAAAAGAAAGAGAACAAAGTTACAAAGATAACAAAGATGGAAATGAATTTGAAGTTGTTTATAGTAGCAACGAACTGCGCTCATCGTTTGGTAAACCTTGTACGTTTAATAAGGCTGAGTTGAATGACTTAAATCGAGATATAGTGAATTCGAAAGGCGAGTCGATGCTGTTAGCTTCAAGATTGCAAGAAAAAGGTGCGTTTTCTCTTGGTACAAAAAACGCAAGGAAGAATTTCAAATATATTTTATGGAGGCGGAATTATTAACTTTTTGCAACAATATTTCAAGTTTCATGGATGCTTTAGGTCCCAAAACTTATCATTCAAACGAGTGGAAACTTTTTATAGATCCCTTTACCCACAGTTTAAAGGTAGCTTTCTTTCATTATGGAAATCTGTATGTATTCGTTCATATTGGATGTTCAACAGATTTAGATAAGAAATATAAAATTATGAAACTGCTTCTTGACAAAATAGATTACAAGAAACATGAATGGAAGATATGCGGTGATTTTAAAGTCATATCCATTCTTCTAGGCCAACAAAATGGATACACCAAATATCCATGTCTCATCTGCGAGTGAGATAGTAGAGCTGATAAGGATCACTGGATAAATAAGAATTGGCCTAGTAGAAAAAGTCTGATACCCGAATCCATGAACATCCTTCACGAAGCGTTAGTTGATCCAAAAAAAATTCTCTTACCTCCACTGCATATAAAATTAGGTCTAACAAAGCAGTTCGTAAAAGTGCTCGATCAATCAAGTGCATGTTTTTATTATTTACATAAAATGTCCTAAAACTTAGTGACGTAAAAATAAAATAAAGAGATTTTTATTGGACCTCAAATTAAATTGCTGTGT